ACACACACACACACACACACACACACACACACACACACATATATATATATATATATATATATATATCGCGATATCCACATATTTATAACGTATATATATAACACGTATATTCTCAATTATAAGTGAAAATGAGTAGCATCTTGAATGTAAATAAATAACAGAAGTCACGTCAACGTGATTTCTTCATACTTTTCTAAGAATTTATTTGATTTACACTCATAAATAGAGGGAGATGAGAAAAAAAAAGAGAAAAAATAAAACTTTACGAAACGAAGTGTAAATATAGGAGAAGCGGCGAGGTGATGCAGGTACACTGAAGGTGCTGTAGCAAGAACGAAGAGGTGGGATTCAAGGAGATCAAGACTAAGACATTATTATATCGTGAAAGATATAATTTCAATTCCGCGTTTCCAAACTCTATTTAGGTTAATTTATAGTTTATTCGAACATTTATATATTTTGATCCCTATGGTAGCTGTATTATAATACATGTAGTAACTATATATATATATATATATATAATTAAATAATTTTTATATATATGTATATATATACATATATATAAAATACACACTCTTATGAATTTTAATATACAAATGGCAAATCATTACTTTAACGTACTATTCTTTTCTCTCCTCGTTTTATTTACTTTCCTTATTGCATGTACGTTGTATTAAATGGTATTGCCATTCTTATATAATAAAATTCAATATTCGGACATTTTGTGCTGTAATGTTACATCATAAGCGATATAATATACTAATGCTGTAACATATCTAAGTGTCCAAAGGTATTAGCCTAATGTTTTCATGGATAATAATGAATGAAACTCTTTAATGTTATTAAAACATTTTTATTATTCAATCTTTTAGTTTCTTTTTTAATGTCTTTATTTTTTTGTACAAATTAGGTAATCATATCTTCAAAGAAGCCATCCAACAGGCAACATACGGAATTACTTGGAAATTACATGTTTGCCAGCGTGCTCGATGGTCTCTTACATACATATATACATACATATATATATATATATATATATATATATATATATATATATGCGTGTGTGTATATTTAAAGTAATAATAAAATGTATGTTACTTTTTCTACTTATTCCACAAATGCTTTTATACATTCGGCGTGCTTCGTTATTATTTATTATTTCTCGTAGAATAAACGCAACTAAATCATTACGGTTCCTCATTGATGTGTAAAAATATAGAACCACTTTTCTAATAATACAATGAGTACAACAACCGAATATGAATAGCATAATGAATATTAAAACAGTTTGTTCTATCTGAAATAATAAATTAAAATTTTTTATTAGGTAAAATTTTCAAAAAGAAGTTGGGCAAGATTGTACAGTATATATTCATGATATACTATCATGTATTTTGCACATTTTCTCGTTCGCATTTCTAATTAATTTGTTAATTTATTTAATTTATATATGGGTAGAAAAATTTCTTTTACATGCCAGCTTCTTTTTATATTATTATCATAAAGCTGCCCTTCCTTTTTTAATGATATATAAACTTGTCGTACTTTCATGTCACTAAAATTTACTACGTTTTCCTGATACGAAAATATGTATTTTTGTAAGAGACTTAAAAGATATTATTATTTGGGAAATAATAAAATGTTTATGTAATGTTTGCAAAGCCTTCGACGTGTCAGTAAAGGGCAGCAGAATGTGACAATCTCTTCTTACTGTGAATGTAAACTCATATCCTACAAAGATGCTATGTGTTAAAAATTTTAAAAAAATTTGAAGAATACCTCCGAGAATATCTTCAGGAAGAATATTTCACGTTTCTTTTATGTATATGAATATGTAGTACACTTGTATTATGCTTGTAGCTGAGACGCAGAAGAAAGCGCATTATAATGGGAAGTATATTCATAATCAAGTTATGTTTGTATACAGATACATTTATATAAAATAGTGTAAAGAATACTTTAGAAAATATAACGTTTGAAAAATATGTAACATGTTTTTACATACGACTTTCATTAAATAATGTACGACAAACGTGGAGTCCGATAATTTCATAGTCGTCTTATATAAATAATACGTTAATAAATAATAAATAGTACGTTCCTATATTTATCAATATTATTATTTATTATATTATTTAACATAACTTTTACACGCGCGTGAGATTTTATGCTTTCGATAAGAAATGCAGCTGAAATTATTATATGCAATTGATAAAAGTATATTATTCAATATTAATAAAGTTTTCCTTAATAACGAATAAGGGTTTCCTTAATAACGAACAATGTAAATTCTTCAAAATTTGTCTAACACGTTTGTCCGTATGTTATGAATGCGTAACTAATTATACAAAGTAAAAATCTCGTTTTTACTTATATATATTGCTATATATATATAGCAGACTGAAAGAATATTATTTCACATATATATATATGTATATATTATGCTACATTTCGAATATGTAGATATCAATTATGATCCAAGATGATGCCTTGTGATTATGTAGCAAACGTTTACACGAGAAGAAGAGTAATTATATACAAGAAATTACTATATTTGAGTAATTATTGTTAACACACACACACACACACACACACACATACACACAGCGCGTTATATTGTGGAATACGTAGAAAGTGACATAATAATTTAGGCGCAGGATTATACTTATAGTCACAGCCTGATTGGCACGCAGATATGATTTGATGTCTAATAGGAGAAAATTATGTTTCAGGAGATAATATAATTGTGGCTGAATTGTAGATGGACAAATTTTGTAGCACTTGTAAGAATATATAATAGGTAATGAAAGTTTCTAATCTCTTAATACATGTTCACGCCCAAAGAGTGTCCAAATTTTGTCGATTCATGTTCTACGGAGTATATGGATCATATTAACCATTCATGTGCTTGAGCTTAGCTAACCGACAAACAATTGAATCGTCTTTCACACTATATAGCCTTTTCCGTTTAACACAGGACATACATCCAAACATTATTAAATCACAGCGAGAGAGAGAGAGAGAGAGAGAGAGAGAGAGAGAGAGAGAGAGAGAGAGAGAGAAGTACTCTTCGCGCGCCTCTTTACGATCGATCGTTAGCGAAAGAAATGAACGATAACGAGTGAAAAGTATCACACGACTATATCTTTACATTGATCAACATTTTACATGTGCATGCACAGTGTATGCATGTATATTTGTAATTCTAACGTATCATGCTGGCTTACTTTAAGGAGACACCTTTGTACCGGCTTATTAACTGCATGCCATCATTATGTTTCTTACAATATTTCAAGAATTCAATTAAACACAACTGGAATGTTTCCCATCTTCAGTGGTAGAACACGGATGGATGGATCGTGTCGTAAAAGAATTCTCCCGTGAAACTTCTTTCGCGTACACGCTTCCACGGCTCCGGGAGTCGAGGTGAAGCTTCTGTGTCGATTTCTGTCCGAAAATTCCAATTCATCACACACGTGTGCCATCGGGAGCGGGGAGAACATTCTGTATATCTTTCCATCTCGCCTACGTGTGTCCGCTCGCACACATCTCTCTCTTTCTGTTTCTGAATCTCACGTTCGTCCTGTGTGTTGTTGCAGGTCCTCTAAACGATTAAAAATGGAAGCGGGCTATAATTCACATCCGAGCCGACTCGGCGCGGACGCACATTACGGCGAGGACATGTTCAATCAGAGCGGCGGCCCGTACATGGTCTCCCCGTCGTCGTATTATTACAACAGCCCGCCGCCCGTCAAGCCGCGCTCGTCGAATCTGAAGGGAGATAATCAGCCGTTGGAGATGTGCGCGGCGGATGATAATCTCGCCCGGCGACTCATGTTCCTCACCAACGCCTTGAATCAGGGAAAGCCGATTCGCGTCGACGATCTTTTGTCACTTCGCCCGGGCAACGAGGTACACCTATTGAACAAACTCGGCGCTTGTTTGCCTCACCTCGAGACGAGTCGCAGATAGATATCTACGTGTATAAAGAGGTCTCCAAATTGATCTCCCTGTGTGAATCTCTCTCTCGGAGAGTCGCCTGAGAGTCCCATTAAGCAAGAAATCCATCCACGTAACCGTTATTACGATATTATGTAACATGTAACACCTCGAACCATGTAGTTCTTAATGCTGTACGCAACGTCACTGTTAACGAACATTAAAAATCATATTTATACGACGTCATGTCATTTGTAAGATGTTACCATCAAAGTGCTTGTAAAATCCGCGTAAGATCGATGTATCGAAAGGTTGATTCAATGTTTTTTGCTTACTGGGAGGCTATTACGGTTCTCAAGACGAGGTGAAAGTGACAAAAGTAAGCGCGAATAGACCGGGATATTTATCATTTCACCGATCGACACCTGCCGTAGAATTTGCTCACTTCTTAATCTTCACCTCGCCTTGAGCTCCCTCCGGTGTACGCTCGTACGTTCACGGATGACGAATCTTGGAATTCCGCTGCCAAGGTTCACTTGCTTCGGACTCTTAGAAGCTCCCACTCTTCCCCCTCGCGTTTGTTTGTTACGTATCTCCAAGGCTTTCGGCTATTCACCGTTCCCCGATGATATGCGCGCCGTTTATAACTCACTATCTATTGCAGTGCGATCCCAAGGTAACACAGTTGCTGGGCGACCTGCACGCGGAGCTGCGCCTCGCCGCGAACGCCAGGCCGGGCGGCCAACTGGAGTCCCACCTGCCCGTGTTGAACCCGTCTTCTCTGCTGGGTTAGTCTCGACAGCCTCTCCTCCGTCTCTTTCTTCTTCACGTTGACGTTGACAGAGAGACCTCTTCTTTACCTCTTCGCTTCTTGCAGACACGAGTGGGTCGCAACAGGCCAACTTCGACGCGCACGCGGTGTACGCCGGCGACGACGCCGTGAGCTCCTCCTCCGGCAGCAGGTGGTCCCAGGTGGCGACGGTCGGCGTACGGAACGCCCTGTCAGCCCTCATGTCATGCTACGGCCTGGACACGTACAATCCGACGGTGTTCGCGATCGGCGGCCGGCCAACAGCGGGCAAAGCCGTGTCCAACCTGCCGCAGAGTCTTTTCCACCCGTCGACCTCCTCGCAGTCGGCGTTCAGCTCGTAATGATTCGACGCTCGGTCTCGCGGACGATGCCTCCCCCCCCCCCCCCC